CAGGGCTGGGGGAAAGAAAAAGCCTAGAGCTGGCTCTGTTCCTACCATTCACAGCAAGCTGCAGATTTCAGTTCCATACACCTTTCCCACACCCCTTCCTGTTGCTAGTGGCCAAGGGAATGCTGGGAAATGTAGTTCTTTCCCTGCTCCAGGGCTGGATCTATAGGCAGGGAGCTAACCAAGGAACTACAGCTCCCAGGGGCCCCTGTTGGTTCTTAGCTCCCATGCTGGATTCTTGCGCCCCTTGCAAATCTGCCGCCCCAAGCAACTGCTTGCTTTGCTAGTGCCTAGAGCCGGCCCTGACTTTGAGGAAATCTTGGAGTTGACATTGTCAAGTAATGAGTTAATATATTTTAAAAACATGCATCTCATAATGGAAATAAAGTAACTAAACCATCCTAAGTCCCAAATTTAACTCTTATCTAAGAACTTAAGAAATAAGAAAACATTTACTTATGTAACAAGAGTGAATATTAAATACTGAAAGAGAAATCAAAGCTTCTACACAAACTTTGAAAGAGCCTTATGGAAAGTTTTAAAGATAAACATGAAAGGGTTTCTAGAAACTAAATTAAGAGAATCAGGTTAAATATTTTTGTCTGTTTTACAGGATTCTTAAGTTTTCCATTTTATTTCTCTTACACACAATCCCATTTAAGTCTTCTCTATGATTTTTGTCTAAATGTTACCAAAATATATATTAAAAAGTGGATGTGAAATGAAAAAGTTTTAAATATAGTCTGCCTTGCCGTCTTAAAGAAATCTTTACAGGGAAACACTTTTTAGGAGAACTTGGAGCAGGACTTAATTTAAAAAGAAAAATATCCTCTTTCTAAAACCACAATAAACTTGTCCCTGAGGTATATTGTATCTTCTTACTATTGAATATTTATTTATTCAAGTTGTGCATTCCGAGGCACGAGAGACACAGATAATTTAATATGAATTTTTAAAAATAACAAATATTGTTACTCCTGCTTATACTATGACATAGTTGTATTTTATTCACTATGTTTAGATAATGCAAAAACGACTGCTTTGTTTCTGCAATTCCCAAGTAAAATTACAGTACTGCTTTTTCTCAACAGGTGATATTCCTAGATGACTGTGTGTCTTCCTTCATACAAATTCGTGGATCTGTTCCATTATTTTGGGAGCAACCTGGTCTGCAGGTAAGTAGTTAAGATAAATGTTGAGGCCCTGTTGCACTGTTATCTTTTTGGCTGAGCTCCGGATGAAATTCTTTGGGAGAGAGACTTTTGCTTCTTAACGGACTGGCGGTATTGCTGTTGAAGACACTACTTCCTATGGGACCTGAGCACACTATCTCTAATGCTTAGTTTCTTGCATTAGTTTCTTGCTTAGTTTCTTTTGGCCTAGAAGTTTTGAATTCTTTGATTTTTAACGATTGCTTCCACAGGTTGTTCTGGAGCACACAAGCGGAGAGGCTACTCTTGATTTAGTCATAAATAATACAAAGGAGTCCGTGCAAGTAACAGTGACTACAGTATAATTAAGTTCAACATCCTTGGGAGAGAAATTGTACGAAAATCTAATACTGTGACACTAAAATAAAAAATCAGGACATTTAAAAATTCTTACATGTAGCATGGCAGCTGTATAAGCATACCATAACAGAGTCACAGAAGGCTCGCGTATCCCTAAACAAAAAAAGCTAGAAGTGTAGTTACATGACAAGGTTCAAGAGGTTGTGTCAAAAAGGTGTTCTTCAGAAAACTAACATTAATGAAACAATAGAAAGAAGCACATATTATGGAAGGAATAATGTATGACAGAAATAGGATTTAAATGGATTTTGGAGAGCAGATAGCTAAACACACACAAACAAACAAAAAATTCAACTATGTAACTTAATGTACTCTTCTTGTCAAAGGTGGGATCCCATCGTGTCAGAATGTCAAGGGGATTTGAAGCAAATGCACCGGCTTTTGACAGGTGAAATAGTGGCTTGTATTTTTCTTAATATGCTGTTCTGATCAGGTAGTTTTACTGATTTAAAGCTGTAATTCAGCAAACCATGTGAGTAGTCCTTTTGAAGTTCAGTGGGCTATTCATGTGCTTAATATTTCATCTTGTAATCTTTATTTGGCAACTTCTGTATTAAAATTGGAGTTTAGACTTTCATTTCATACTGTATGTAACAATGCTTGGTTAAACTCCATGTAACTTCTTGGTATTAGCCAAATGTTTCCTCTTAAGTAGATTTTTTGCTACCATTGAACTAAATAAATAACAAAAACAACAAGGAGTCTGGTGGCACCTTAAAGACTAACAGATTTATTTGGGCATAAGCTTTCGTGGGTAAAAACCTCACTTCTTCAGATGCATAGAGTGAAAGTTACAGATGCAGGCATTATATACTGACACATGGAGAGCAGGGAGTTACTTCGCAAGTGGAGAACCAGTGTTGACCGGGCCAATTCAATCAGGGTGGATGTAGTCCACTCCCAATAATAGATGAGGAGATGTCAATTCCAGGAGAGGAAAAGCTGCTTCTGTAATGAGCCAGCCACTCCCAGTCCCCATTCAAGCCCAGATTAATGGTGTTAAATAAATAAGACAATTGTCACTTGGTATCACTGGGCTGGATCACTTCCTTGGGATGCATTTCAATAAAATGGCTGCCATAATAAACGTACACTGTACTCTAGTATTTCATTCAGATGGGGTTGATTAAGAGAAGATGCTGATTATATTACCTTGTTATTAGCCAAAAGGTGAGTGAGGATTTTTTTCTTCTTCTGTTAACAGGCATTTCCGAACACTTAAAAGTGTATATGGCAAGCAAATTATTGTAAATTTACTTGGGGCAAAAGAAGGGGAGCACATGCTTAGCAAAGCCTTCCAGGTAAGTATTATGATTATCTCATGCCCTGTATGTTCTCAGAATTGGCTTATGCCTTAGGCGGGTGTTAAATAGTCATTAGAGAATGAAACAGATCTGTTGTACACTAGAGTAACTGCTTGTTGTTAAAATAAATCTGTACCCATTTTGCTCAATACAGGATCCTAAAAGCTCACAGAGGCATTTCTTAGTATATATACAATGAAATGGATTTTAAAATCGTTTTAATGACAATCAGTATGTCTGAGCATGTTAGTCAAAATAAGCATTCTTTTTAAAAATTATAACTGGAATATGGCAGGCCGTTGATAATAAATTGTAAATTATCTTCCCTCAATACTTGTTTATGTCTAAAGGAAATAACTTCTGCATTCTAATGATAGGCATATAGGTATATAGGCAACAGATGTTTTGATATTTAATACTGAATGTGCTTCAGGTAAACAATTTTTTCCTCCAAAATACTGCTCTAGTAATTCCTGGATGTATTTTTAGACTGTAGAGAAAAGGACTTCTTGAACTTCAAATGAATACATCACTTGAGGCTTAAAAATAATTTAATAGTTTAATTGAAATTTCAACTTTTAAAACTTATTCAGAAGACCAGCATTTTGATTGTAACTGGCCAGTCTCAAGATTTCTTGCTACCGAGTTATATAGTTGAATAAAGATTCTCCTGGATTCTAATTAATTAGAGAATAGCCTGTAATATCAGTCCAGTTTCTATCATATTATCTTTTTTCCCAGACGAGATCATTTTCTAATTATTTACAATTAATTTGTAAATAAATTATTTTATATTACCAATTTAGACTGTGAAATCACCTGTAAGATGCTCAGTTATACTTATAAAATATATTTAACCTTAAAATAATACCAGGATAGAAATTCCAATAAAAAGAAAACTAAGCTGAAGATGACAATATTGTGTGTCTGGGGTACAGAAAATTTTATTTCATTGTAAATGTCACTTGAGTTATTTTTTTAATCTAATTTTAATATAAGATGCTCTTAATACAGTGTAAAGTTTATTTTCATCATCCTTTTTTACATAGTACTCTTAGAGAGAATTGTAAGGAATGTAGGAGCTGCCTTAGTGGAACAGACAAATGATCAGTCTAGTCTGATATTTAACAGTATCAATGCCATGTTTCAGGGAACAGAATAAAACTGTGAAATCCACCTCAGTAGTGTGCTGTGGAGGAAATTTGTTCTTGGACTCAATTGGTGTTCTGTAGATACCCTACATAAGAAGAATTTTGATAGTCTTTATAATTTTATTCTGCCTAGGTTTCTCCTTCTGTCCTGACAAATTAGATTTGTTAATAGCCTCTTTATTTATTATAGCTACAGATGCTCTTCATTTAAATGTCTATTGTTTCCGTTTTGTTTGTTTCCCAGTATTACCAGGATACATTTATATTTATTTAAAAATCATAGGCATTGAATTTTGAATAAGTTTAAAAAGGAGAAACAAATTTTCTTCTGATAAAGCCATTTTTTACATAAGATGGCAACTATAGTATTCATTCACTACTTCTACCATGGACTTGCATATTAACAGAGCTGGAAATGATGTCCCATTTAATTAGTATACTGTCCCCAGCTGTGATCTCAAAATGGACATTTTTAATTAAAATTGTTGCAAGTATATTTTCACTTCTGAAAAAATTGCATTTATCTTTGACTACTTTATGAGCACGACTTTTAATATTCCAAACTTCTGAGCAACTTCACACAGACAATTTAGTCATCTCTTTTCCAGGCTGAACAATCCCAGTCCCTTTACCTTCTCCTCATATAGAAGCTGTTCCTTATTCCTAATGATTTTTGTTGCCCTTCTCTGAACTTGTTCCAATTTTAATGTATCATTTTTGAGATGGGGTGACCAGAACTACACACAGTATACAAGGGGTGGGTGTGCCCTGGATTTATAGAGTGGCATTATGATGTTTTCTGTCTTATTATCTATCCCTTTCCTAATGGTTCCTAACGTTCTGTTTTCTTTTTTGACTGCCACTGCATGTTCTTGGCTAATACTATTAACAAAGTTCCAATGAGCAAAATTTAACATTGCCTTTGTTAAACTTCTGAACTCCATTAGAACAGTAGAGTTGTCCAAAAGTAACTGAGATCACAATTTGGTTTGCAGACTCTTTATTCTTTAGTGGTGATGTGTGGGCAGGAAAGAACCCAGGATGACTTTCAGAGTTTAGGATGAATTTTCAGGCTGGTACATTTGGGAAAAAAAGGCCATTGTTTTACTTGTAAAGAGAGCAAATTTGCTCAGAAGGCATTGAGACGAAAACATGGAATTCCCCCTCAATGCCACTTATACAAAGTCATTTTTCAGAGCAGATTGGCAATTTAAGATGACAAATAAGCTATGTATAGAATTAAGCTGCAAATAAACAGTCTATGGTAGGGGATCTCAAACTTCAGTATGGGTCACATCTTAATAGAGTGCATCTCTTGGACTCATACTCTCACATTTGCAATCCTGCAGGCTTCCTCCCCATCTTTTTGTGATCACATAACATGTGACAACTACAGCAACTGTTTACATGTAAAAATAATATTAGGAAATCAGTTAATGTACTTTAGCTGGATTTTTTAAATGTAATTTAACAGCTGAAAACAAGGAGAGTAGGCATCATGTGACCAACCAGCTCCCCGCAGACCGTCACTGGTCCCTGGGCCACTATTTGCGAACATCAGTTCTAAAACTAGAGAACTTGTCAACATATGTTTTTTGTTTTTTTTTCCTGCCGTGGTTGATGAGCTTACTAACACCTTAAACTGTGGAAGAAGATTGCAATACTTACATTGCTTTAATGATTTTAAAGTAGAAGGTAGAATGTAAATCTGCTTCTGGTTTTGGCAATTAAAAAACAAAAATTCAGTTGTAATAATTTAGAGTCTTGGTTTATATTTTATTAGAATGATTTGGATTAGTATATAATGAAATATGTCTCATTTTAGTAGAAAAAGTGATAATGATAAAGATACTGAACAAATGGAGTTAATAACTTTCTTAACATTGGTGGCATATTTGGCTTATACTAATCTAACACTCTGTTTGTTGCTTGGTATATTTATACTTTTTCCTCTCTCTTTCCTGATATCAGAGCCACTTGAAAGCCTCTGAACATGCTATTGATATCAAAATGGTGAACTTTGACTATCATCAAATGGTTAAAGTCGGAAAGGCAGAAAAACTTCACAGCGTGCTTAAACCTCAAGTCCAAAAATTCTTAGAATGTGGATTTTTTTATTTCGATGGAAAGGAAGTTCAAAGGTTTGACTATATGACTTCTGTAACTTTCCTACAATCAGAATACGATCGTAATTTAATTTTTCACTCTTTTAGTCACAAATATAGAAAAAAAATATTTCTGGTTGTTTGTGTGAAGACAGACTGTTTTTATTTATCTAGGATGGTGACCTGAGACTGAAATACGAACCAGTTATTTTGTGTTTATATATAAATGTATGCCATGTTTTCTTGTTCCTGAATAGTCTCTAAAAGTCTAGGGTGATACTAAGTTCATACTGGTATTAGAATAAAGTCTTTGTTTTGAACTCACCATTTTGTCTTATTTAATGCAATCTTCCTTGTACCTTATTAGGATAAGGAAGTAACTTTTGAAAGGGAAAGCAGAACCAGTTTTCCCTGTTGCTGGTACTAACACTGTCTAAATTATCTTTGGTGATGGAGCATAGCTGTTTGCCATTCAGTCTAAGTGCTGTCGGCCAATGGGACTAATTCCCCTAAATTATTTCTGAGCCTGGGTTTCCCATGTGGTTGTAGAGGGCTGTCCACAAAAATGGACTTTTTTTTTTTTTACTGAACAATAAAATATCCTAAAATCTACTCCACCACACGATCACATTTTAATATCTTATTAGCCTTAAAGCCATATCAGTTTGAGAGTTTCTTTTTTAAAAAACTATAATTTTTGCCATTGAGAGAACTAGAATTAGAAGTCTGTCTTAATTGTGATGTGTGGGTAAAAATGATTTTATTAGGTTGTCCTCTTGGAAAAACAAACAGCCCTTGGTTTTTTTCTTCTTCTTCTTTCTCTCTCTTTCTGTCCTGACAAATTAGATTTGTTAATAGCCTCTTTATTTTGACCTCCTAAGATGCATTTTTCCAGTTTTACCAAAATATTGTTTTAGTTTTAACTTTTATTAAAGATAAACAAAATTGATAAGAAAATAATTTGTGTTAAATAACTATTAAGAAGCTGACAAATATAGAAGGTAAGGGAGTACAACAGAGATAAGACACGTTAAGTTATAACTTGCAGTAGGTATAAAATTTTTTTTAAGTTTTGCTATAACTTTTTAAAATCTATTTATCCTATTTGTTTTATCTCTTTTCAATAGGTAAATTGTTAATCTAGTACAGACAATAAGTCACTTCATTTTTCTTTAGTCTTTTATTGTGTCAACCACATTTCTATAGTTGTTTTTTCCCAAAGATAGTGTTGAAATAATGTACTGGATGCGGTTTTATTACATTTACTATTTACTACAGTCTTACTTTAATTTCAGCAAATCAGGGCACTTTCCTAATGCTTTGTTTTCTAACTTTTTTGTTTTCTTTTATATATAGTTTATTTTAACTAGAAGTGAGTACCCATGAAATATTTAGAAAATGCATGTTGTATTTCCTGGGTTGTCTAGAAAGAGAGTTCATTCTAGCATTACACTTCAGAAAACAAGTACCACACCAAAAAATTGAAGGAAGACTTTGTTTTATTTGCTGGAGATAAATTGCTCTTGTGTAAAGAGATGCCAGTCTTGTTGCTATTGGTGGATCTATAGCTGCCAACATTATAAATGTATTTTTATAACAATAACATTGCAATTACAGTGCCTTGATTTACTAGTCTCTTTAAGATCTTGGTGTCCTTTGTTGATGTTCTTTGTCTTACTGAGTTATTTCAGTGGTTCTCTTTATTTTATTGTACTTGGCACAGATATCAAAGTGGTACTATCAGGACAAACTGCTTGGACTGTCTGGATAGAACAAACAGTGTGCAGGCTTTCTTTGGCTTGGAGGTAGGAAAATAATGTAGATTCTTGATGTAGAACTTGCAACCACTGATTGATTCTGATGCTTCTGTAATACTTGAATGACAAAATTACCATAATTGTTAATAGGGAAGATTAATTACAATATGCTCAAGTTATGAGTTAAAATCTGATTTGTAGCATGGCCCTGTAATTCAGTGGGCTAACATATCTTGGTAGCTCACAATTCTTAGTACAAAAATTGTGGTATACCAGTTTTAAGGAAAGTATATTTGAACCACTACCACTGATGTATTTCCCTTTCTTTGTGTGTCCATCTGTTTTTCCTTTCAGTTTCAGGCTTGCAATTCCAAAGGAGGAGTAGCGTTACAGTCCCGCACAAAAGCACTTTACCCATAGCACTTTCTGTGAGTTCAACTAAGATTCCTCAAATTGAACTTACAGTAAGCACTGTGGATAAAGGTCTTTGGTACACATGCTACTGCCCTAAATGGTTACCAGTACTGCTGTCTAGGAAACATCATTAGTCCATGAGTTTTGGATTACATAGAGAATGTTACAGCTGGGCCCCCATCTATGCCCCAAATCTGTGGCTGTCAATTCACTCTAGAATTCAGTCTTTTCTGTAAAATTGTGCTCCAGGATATCAGCTTTAATATTTAAAAAAAAACAAAAATGTTTCCAGTACTCAAGGATATAAAGCAAAGCTTGAAAAGATTAACTGAATGTAAACTGATGCAGTGATATCTGTGAGCCTGAAACAATATCTTTGAGAGATTTGGTGTGCTCCACTCATCTTAATAAATTATTAATTCTGAAACCTAAACATGAAAACCTGCAGCATATTTAAAAATAGAAATGAGTGGACACTGAAACTAAATTAATATAAAAATAAACAAGACTACTTTATTTAAGATATTTATTTTTCTTCTAATTCAATAAAACCCTCCAATTTCAACATTTATATGAAAATTCTGCAGAATTTTCAATCGAAAGCTGTAGAATCCAGTGACTTTGAAGCAAAATTTAAATCAAATTGTCTGCCAAATATATAGAGCTTTGATTATAGTAGTTTGTCTGTACAATGATGTTGTAGTCAAATAGTCCACTGAATTGAAACTTTATCTGATATTTTGTTTTCTTCACTGTTAACCTGTCTCATCCTTAGGTAAATGGTGGATTTAACCAAAGCTTGAAAGATCTAAGGTTTTGTAGTGTTTCAGCTGCCTGTACTGCAGGGAATTATAATTTTCATCTTATAGAACTCAGAGAATAAAGGGAAAAACAGGCCAGCTAGGGTCTGTTGTTAATATATATTAATCTTGGTTGGTTTTGGAATTCTTCCTCTTTCTGTATGACTTAATTCATCGTGTGTACTGTAAAAAATGATTTGATTAAGTATTCATTCATCCATATATCTATCCCATATTGATCTTGTCATGGAAAAGATACCGAGATTGTAACCTTAAAGAAGATCCTTTTGATCCTAAATCGGTGTCCAACATAGTTTTGAGCTTGACAGTTCATGGTACACTGATACTCAGGTTCTGAAGTAGTCCAGCTGGGTGAGCTAGGATGACCTGCATTGAATAATCATTTCTCATGTTTTATGTGCATTTCAGTTGTCTGTTTTGTAGCAAACAGACACCTGACACTCACTTGAATCAAAATATATAGCAATTTTATATTTACAGGTCTACATTTTGTTCTCTTATACCAGTGTAAATCTGGAGTAAAGTCACTAATTTCATTACAGCAGGAATGTCCAACTCATTCTGTGGTGAGGGTCACATTACCATTTCAGTTAAAATTCATGAGCTGGGAATATAAAGCTCACCAGCAAGAGGCAGTTTTTTCAGTAGTGTCCAACTGCTGAATGAGCCCCTTTAATTGTATTTAAATGAAATACATACACTATTTTTTTTTAAGTAGGAAGCCTGTTTTTTCTCTTCCAATTAGTTTATCTCTAGTTCCCTGTGTTTCTATAGCCACATTGTAGTTTTTTTCCCTCTGTTTTCTCCAACCCCTGCCCCACTTCGGACATTTCTCTTCTCCCTTCATCCTAACCATACCACTTTAGGATTCTTCCCCAAATCTCTTTTTCTTCTTGCATCCTTCATAGCATTGCCAACCCTAGGTGTTCAAAAATCACAAGTAAGGCCCCAAAATTATGAAATTTCCAAAAAAAAAACTTAGTTGCCTTCTGTTTTTTGAACATTTAATGTTTGTTTTCAAGCTTATATCCAAAACCATAAGGACTAGAATCATTAAAAAAAAAGAAAGGAAAAGAAAGAGAGAAATTCCCATGTGATTGTATGACTCCAGAAACTGGGACTTTTATAAAAATACCAGATATCATGAGACTCATGATAAAATTGCAAGAGTTGGCATAATTCTGTCCCTTTGAAGATTCTTCCTCTTCCTTCTCCTGGGGATTTGTCCTACCCCATTTATTGATCTCCCTGCTTCTTTGGGAATTTCTCTCTACTCTTTTCTCAACCTCCTTCCCCCACACCCTTTTGTTATCTCCAGGAGTTCTTTCTCCCCCACAATTTGGAAAATTTCCCCCCTCCTCCTTTTTGGAATGGGCAATGAGTGAGGAGAGAGAACATAAAAGGAGCTGCTTCCCGAAGCCTGGGATTGGGTAACAGCAGCTGGGTACAAGAGGAAGTAGATATTCAGCTGAGTCTGTTGCAGTAGGGTTCAGTGACTACATCAGGGACTGGAGAGCAAGGGAAATCTCTGTTCCCCTGAGCCTTTTATGTGTGGCATTGTGGAGGTGGCAGTGGTGACTATAAAAATTGCTGCTAGGGCCAAGTCAGGCAGATCTCCTCCCGCTTTATCTCCAGCTTCTTCCAAGACCTTTTCAGCTACACCTGGCAGATAAATGCCTTTGAGAAGGCTGTCTGGAAGAAAAGATCCTAGGAGCTAGATCTGCCTATGGGACATATGTCTCATACCTCCTGTTTTGAACGAATGCAACTGTAACTTATAAAGCTTACTTGATAAATTAACATCCTGCCAATAGTGATTTGAAAATTGTTTCTTGACTCTATTAGTAGAATTTTGAGGGAAGATAAAGTGAAGCACAAAAGACATTGCTGCCTTACTCATTTGAGTATCAAAGAGCTCTACATCCATTGCATGCTGTTGGGAAAGGTCAGTGATACTCTGAGACTTAGCTGAGGTTCTGATAGGAAGAATGTAGAGTAAACTCTATTTGAATACTAATGAAGAATTAAAGACCTGGAAATAAAAAATAAGGTTATGATATTAAAAAAAGTCAACCCAAAAATAGCTAATTCGATATAGGTGGTCTTTCAATGTTTTAATGTTATGTTTAATGTTATGCTGCTGTGAAAGAGTTTAATGTGATATAGTGTCATTTTCTCCAGAACACAGAGTTAAAGTAAATGCTTTTTTGAAGGGAGAATTTGACAATATATATTTTAGTGTATTCACTTCATGAGCCTTCTCTTGAACTGTTGCAGATGCTAACAAAGCAACTGGAGGTTTTAGGTTTAGCTGAGAAGCCTCAGCTGGTTACTCGCTTCCAGGAAGTTTTCCGGTCCATGTGGTCATTAAATGGTGATTCTGTCAGTAAAATATATGCAGGAACTGGAGCTCTTGAAGGAAAGGCTAAGGTAAAAGCACTTTTTAATAATAAACATTTAGCAGTATTTGAAGTGAGTGTTTCATTTTACCATGTTGTGAGGGTTTTCCTTTATCAAATGTATTTTTGTAAAAAAATAATGGTGTAATAAAAAAAAGATAAAATTGAATTAAAATAAAAAAGTCCCAATTAACAAACAGTGTTTCGGTAACATCTTTCCCAATTTGAATTTTCCCCCTATTCCTGGGTAGTACCCACTTTAGAGCCTGGAGAGGCTCAGAGAAGACCCACTGGTCAATTCACATTTCAGCATCAGAAGATATATGTTCAATCCACACTAGTTTCTTTGCATAGTTTGTTTCCTCTCTGGGCCGTTTCCTTCAATTGCATTAATTTCATCTAGCATATCAACTTTCAGTTGAACACATTGAAAGAAAGTAATAATTCTTGTGTTTACTCTGGTTGGTCTTGTCTTATTTCTTCTATTTACCATGTTAATTTGGCTAGATCAGGGGTCTCAAACATGTGGCCGCCTGCGGAGTTATTTGCTGCCGTCTGCCAAGCTCCCTACCCCCCTCGCCTCCTGGAGTTATTTCCTGTGGCCACCAAGGTCCCCTCCCCCACCGCCCCTTTTGGCCCCCAGCGCGCCACATCCCCGCTTCTTTGCCTACCTCCAGGCGCTTCCTGCCACCAAACTGCTGTTTGGCGGCACTTAGCACTTTCCAGGAGGGAGGGGGGAGGAGCGGGGAGCCACGTGCTCGGGGGAGGAGGCGGAGAAGAGGCGGGACAGAGGCGAGGATTTGGGGAAGAGGTTGGAATGGGGCAGGGAGGGGGCGGAGTTGGGGTGGGGACTTCGGGGAAGGGGTTGGAATGGGGGCAGGGCAGGGTGGGTATTTATATCTTTATATGAAAAGGTGTCAGTGATGCAGCCCTCGGGCTAATGTGCTAGTCCTCATGTGGCCCTCGTGGTGATTTGAGTTTGAGATCCCTGGGCTAGATCATAGTTCATGTTCCTTCAGCTGTACCTTTCTAGTTTTCTGGTTACCGGGAGGAAAAAAACAACCAAACAACTCCTTTTCTAGTTTCCTCTGTCTTGTAATATGCAATTCTGTGCTGTTTCCCAGCATATTGTTCATTTTATTTCTTCAGCCTATTTTGTCCCAGTTAATACACAAGTTGTTCAAATACCTAATGCTATCTTTTTCTTTTCACAAATGTTTTTTTTTCTTTCTTTTTCTTATCCGGTGATATATAGCAAATGTTGCACCATAAAAATTATATCCTTCTCTTAATCCCTCCAATGTATCCTTTTTCACTCTCATGCAATTCTTCATGTACAAGAATACTCTTCTTTGTCTCTCAGATCTCCATTTCCATCTTCATAGTGTCATTAATATTTAGACCTTATTTAACTATTTTGTTTTTCCACCATACTTCAGTTAATCCATAATGTCAGAAATCCTGTGCACATGTAGCTGTCAATGGCAATAGGCTCCATAAAAATTAGTCAACTGATGGATCAGATTCTGCCTTTAGATTGGTACATGCAAGTCCCATTGATTTGGGAATTGTTTGTGTTCCTCTGAGGGTAGAATTCTATTTTCTGTGCTAGCAGTGTGAGCCAGACCCTGGAAACTTAAGGGTTTCTCCCTGTTTCCTGACTTTTTTTCTCTCCTTAGGGCTTATATGTTTGTTTGTTCAATTAAATTAATGCTTCCCTGTCATGCTTCTGATTATTTAGCATTTCATTCACTTTGCTGGTTTCTATTTAGGCACACTATATCTTGTTCCTGTTTGCAAGTTATAAATATTCCTTGTACAACTGCTAACCTTCTTTGCTAGTTCAAAAGTACTCTTTGGTCAGGTACAGCTCATTCTACCTGGAAAAGGTCCATCTGTTCTAAAAGAAACAGTAATACTCACAAAGCCCTGCAACATATGACATTATTTTTGGTAACACATCTAGATCCCGCATGAACTATCATCTGCTTCAGGGGCATATTGTTAATATACTTAAAAATATTGCTGGTAGGTTTCTATCCTAATTTCTCAAAGCTTGTTTGTAATCTGTATAGTTGTCATCTATATATAATTTTGATTCTTCCAGGTCCAAGAGTGCTTAAAAGTTTTTTAAAAAATCACATTTAAGATATGAAAAGATTCTACCTTTAAATTTAAATGTATAAATATACAGTATATTTATATATAGAAGAATCTAGCTTTAAGGACTATTGTATTCATTTACATCTAACACCTTAACTACTCTTTCTTTTGCTTTCTCTGGGTTCCTTTCAATTAATTGCCTGAAATGTGAATGGTGAGTGTTTCTTAGATCATGTCATACATTGTGTACATTGTCTGATAGAAAGTAAACAGCCTCTTATTAAAAAAAAATTACAGTAAAATAGTGAAGAAACTTTACCACAAGAACACTTCATCCAAAATTTTTAAAAACCATGATTCTGGTTAACTTCCTTCTAACCTTGACAACAGAATAGCTTTTTTTGCTATTTTGTATTATGCTCAACAGACCTAAATAGTGGGATGATTTTGAGCTTTCTTAAAGCTTTGTTTTTAACTATTGTATGCACTGAAGTGTCCTTTACAAACAATTCAAGCCATAAATTTACAATTCTGTAGAGAATATAATCCCATGCAACATCCATGAAGAAATATAGTCTACATGCAGTACCGACTGTGCGTATACCACTGAATGAAATATCAGGCATTCATGATGTGATTATATCATCCTCTCATGTCAGCTGACTCGGGCTTGGGCTGTTTAATTGTGATGTAGATGTTCAGGCTCAGGCTCCAGCCTTAGCCCAAATGTGTCTGCTGCAATTAAACAGCCCCATAGTTAAACATAGATATTTCATAATATTAATTATGAATGCATATATTCGTGTGTGTGTGTGTGTATGTGTAATATATATATATATATATATATATATATATATATATATATATATATATATATATATATATATATATATAT